GTTTCCACGCGGCCCCAGTTCCTGTTTTATAGTGTTTTCAAGGGAGGGGTCAGAGAGAACTGAACAAAGGAAGCACGAGCTGGGACAGTGCTACCCGCCTGAACTGTGCAGTGATGGAAACACGTTCTGTGTGTCGCTGCCCAGCACCGCAGCCTAGCTACACACAGCTACCGAGCTCATGGAGCGCAGCTAGTAAAGACTCAGGAACTGAAACTGAAATTGTATTTAAGTTTAATGTATTTACATAGCCAGATGTGGTTTGTGACTGCTGTACTGGACAGCACAGATCTAGAAAGATAAGAATCCAATCAGAAGTCCTAAAGTCCTAATAAACGTAGACAGGGTAGACCCTCTTACTGGAAAACGCTTAGGGAAAAGTCTGTTGCTTAGGTAACAGCAGAAGTTAAAACCGTGCAGGAGAAAGTTCCCCAAATGTGGTTTATAAGCCTGTGTAAACTCAAAGCGCACACTTTTGCTGTAAGTGGTGTAAGCTAATCACTCTGGCCTAGTGATCTCTGTGAACCCACAAGTCATTTTCAGGTTGACATCTATGCACAAGCTCAAGTAAACACTAGTTTGGGAAACTTCCTGGTGTCAACTGTGATTTTTCCCCCCCCTCAACATCAGGAAAATCAGAATTACCACTCCAAGTCTCCTCCTCTCTTTGTGGCTAAATTCCTCCAGGCCTGGGTCCCACCCCTAGCTATTCCACAGTTCCATTCTAGTCCTACACCAGGAAGTCAATGCTTTGAGACATCTGGCAGGATTTCCTGAGGCTTATTATCTGGAGTGTAAAGATCTGCTTAGCAGTCACATTCCACAGTCTTCCCAAGGTTACTCCAAAAAAAGTAGGAAATAAAAAAGGAAAGTGACAAATCTGAAGGCTGCAAAAAAAACCCCCCAAAACCCAAAAAACCAGGTTCTATGTGATACGTAGAATCTTGAGTCACACTAACCCAAAGGTGTATAGTAACAGGTTCTGCTTTGAGTTTAAGGAAATGTAACCCTGTTCTCGTTCTTAACTCAAGAGGTAAAAAGAGACCTAAGATTTGGTAAGAGAAAGGATTCAGGCTATAGATAAATATAAGATTGGAGTTCAAGTAGAAAATGTTTAACCCAGGACCTCTGGTCTACTACCACAAAGGACAGATGCCAAAGTGAATTACTGATTAAAACAGAGCAGATTGCCAAAAAAGGCGGCTTTTTTCCCCTAGAGATACAAGTTTAAGCCATTTGCTTTATATTATTATTACCTAAAAATGAGAGAAAGGTAAGGAAGAGGAAAGTTAAGTCTTCAGATATGTTATAGTCAATTTATTTAGCTTACTTACAGGTTATTTGAGTCAATTAGGAACATACGACTAAAGGCATTCACTAGACATGTCTGTCTCTCAAAAGCGTGACTAAGACATTTTTATGTTCTCTAGTTTTAGGCCTTGAACTTTAAGAGTAGATGTTCCTGTGATAATTTAAACGGCAATGGACCAGGTTACTGAAACAGGAGTTTTCAGGGCCAGCAGGTGGCTAAGGTGCTGGACTCCCACATGGCCCATTCAAGTTCCAGACCTGGCAGCTGGAAAATCATGTGCTCGCACATGCATGTTCATGCCTGAAATCCCAGAAGGAGAACGGCAGAGACGGAACGGCAGCAGGGCCATTCCCCTGGGGTGATTTATTACTTTCCCTCTCACTGTCTATGGCAAATAACTTAAAAAAAAAATAAGCGGGGTGGAGGGGAGGTATCTTACCTGTCATTAGAGGAGAAATCCATTCCAAGGACAATGCTTTCTTCAGTGTCTTGTCTACCGTTAGTTGAAACCACTACCATATAGCGAGTTCGATTCTGGTAAGTACTTTCCAGTCTCACAGCCTGGAAGTTAACAGAAAAATTTAAAAGGTTAATTTTGGAACATGCAACCCGTTTATCTTTCAAACAAAAAAACAAAAGTTTTAAAAATGTTTACTGAGAGAGGGGCCAGCGGGTGGCAGGGTACTTAAAGTGCTGGACTCCCACATGGCTGATCACAGTTGGAGTTCTGGACCTGTGGCTTGCTTTCTCATTTTCCTTTCTTTCTCTCTGTCTCTACCTGGTGAGTGCATGTGACCTGTAGCAAATTAAAAAACAATAAATAAAATAAAATAAATAATTCTAAAACAAAAAAAAAAGTTTACTGAGAGAGAGAGAGAGAGCACCTCATCAGAGTTTCATGCTGCAATCCTCCCCTAGCATTTTCCAGCCAGCCAGGATTACAGGTATGCATGCTTGCTACGGTACAGGGTAACCCAGAAACTAAGCCCTGACCATCCATATGGCTTCCAGCATTGCAGAGTGTTGTGCTACTACAGTGCCACCATGACGGGGCCTCAACAATTTTTCATCAGTTTGTTTGCTTGCTTATTTATTGTTTCTTTTGCTAGAGGACACAGATGCTCACCAGAGAGATAAGAGGGAGAGGAGAAAGCACCCTCCCCCCTGCCCTGAAAATGGTCATGCTGTAATTCTTTCTCCTCCATCTCTCTCTCCCTTTTCAGATTTTGGGCAGGTACGCACATGAACCTGGCATGTTTCTCAAGCTGCCGGGTCAGGGACTGTAACTGGGCAGTTGGCCATGTGGGATCTGGCTGCCTTAGCCACTAGGCCACAAGGTAGCCCCTTCATTAGCATCTTAAAGCATAATCAGGAAGGCAGTGAAGCTAGTACTTAAGGACACAAATTCAAATCACAGTTCATACACTAGTTATAAAACTTTTCATGAATTACAAAATTAACTGGAGAGAAATACAATAATATCCGCCCACTGAGTTGTTTAAGAGTCTTATGAAATCATACATGTAAAGCACACTTCTTGACATATAGTAAATGCTCAATGAATGTCTATTAGCATAATTAATTGTAACAATTATCAGTGCATGGTCTAAAGACTGAAGAGGAGAATAAATATGAGCACTATACTCACAGATGCAATTTCTACAAGCAATAACAACAGCGAAGTAATTATTAGCATTATCTGCAGGGAATACTGACTGTGCTCTACTGAATTCTTGCATATTCATATTATGGATTTCCTACTTTAGTTTCAATGATAATTAAAAGAGATTGCTTTTTGCAGAAGCTTCTCTCTCTTTTTTTTAATTGCTAGAGAATGCACGTGCTGCACTGATGCCTTAATCCATTATCCTCCTTTTTTCCATCCTGTCTCGATCTGATGCACACAAGGCTGTTTTTCAAGCTGCCAAGGCCAAGATTTCAACAATGGTTAGCCATGTGGGACCTGGCTCCCTTAACCACTAGGAAGCCAGCCCCAAAAGCTTCTCATAATACTTTTGTCAAAAGGATTGAACTTACTGCTTACTTATACTTAAAAAGGTCTTCAGAAAATGTGAACAGGGACAGGATCTTAGATAAAATTAAGAATTTACTATTAGTGTGACAACAGCATTATGGTTATTATGCCTTATGAAAAGTATGTGAAGTGAAACGAGAAGGTGCCACGCTTTACTTTAAAATAGTACAACAAGAAAAGAAAAAAGAGGGAAGCAGGGGTAAGATAAAAAACCAGGTAAAACTGTGACTGCTATTAAAGCTGAATAATGAAGGGTGTGACGGTAGTGCAGCTGAAGCTGACACACGTGGAATGGGTCTGGTCCTCCTCCAAAGACGCCTAAGTATGCTGGGCGTACGTGTGCCCACGATCGGGGCTGGCTGGGGGCGGGCGGCTACAGCATCGAGATCTTTTTTACTCACTCACTCATGGAATAAATAAATATATTTTCTTAAAAAGCTGAATAATGAGTTAATAAGCATGTATTTTCTACTTAGATATGTTTAGAAGTTTTTCTCTTTTTTTTCTTTCGTTTCTAATATAGGGTGTGGGCACTCACTGGAGGGAAGTAGAGAAAGAAAGAGAGAGAGAAAGCACCCGGCAGGGGGAATGGCCACGCTTGAACCCCTCCTCCTCTCCTCCATTCTCTTCTCAGGATTCTGAGCTCGTGCATGTGCCAGGTGTGATTTCCACACAGTGGGGCATGTGGGACCCAGCCACCCTAACCTCCATGCCACTTGCTGGCCAGGACATTTTTAAATAAAAAGTTCAAAAAGATATCTCATAAACTCTAAAAATAAAGCAAATGGCTTCTAGGCAGCACTCATTCAAATATTTACTGTATATGTACTGTACATATAATGGCGGTGTAAGTGCTGAGGGTGAGGGTTCGGTGGTAGGAGAGAGACATGGTCTCTGCCCTGATGGAGTGTACAGTCTAGCACGCTTTTGTTAGTAGTAGTAATAATAATAATAATAAATGGCAGATCCTTTTAAGTCTGGAAAAAGTGCTCTGGAGGTAATTTCTTCTATTTATTGAGTTATCGGGAAAGCCAAGACACCATTGTTTGCATAGAAAAACACGTCATGACTTTCCTGACAGCCTAATAAAATAACTCCTGTTCTTTATCTCAGAGGAGAAACGGAATTCTCTGATTCATCAATTAACCAGCTCAAGAGGTGTGTCAGAAATTTAACATAATTTTTAAAAATTATTGATTTGATTTAATTATTCTTCAATTTGCTACAGGGCATATGTGCTCACAAGAGAGAGAGAGACAGAGAGAGACAGTGAGTCTCCAAGTCCAAGATGTGAACCAAGGTTGGCCCTGTGGGAGTACGGCATACCACCCACCATACCTACCACCTGCTGGTCCCAACCCAAATTTATATTTGGAATTCTTCTAGTGTTGTTCTTCATGGGATCTCCTTCTCCTTAACTCTTGTCTCTACCTCCAAATGGCCAGGCAAAGAGAAAATGAGCCAAGTTACACAGCTGAAATGGCCCAGTTAGCAAGCCAGAGGTGAGACTTCTATGGCTTTCTTTTTGTCTCTATTCTGATACTCCGAGGCTCCTGGGAAAAGCTCGGAAGTACACACAGTAGGAGAGTGGCTACGTTAAAACTTGTTTCTAATAAAAGTTGATAAGACAAGAATGTGGTGCCCATCATTCTGATGCCAAGGGTGCACAGACAGAGCTGTACTGCTGACTATGTTCCATGAAGTAACAGAACATTTGAAACCAAGGTCACTTCCGAGAAACTAAGAGGAATTACCATTTAAATGGTCTAAGGTCTAGACCTAGTGGGCTGGTAACATGGGTGCAACATTGCTCGCCTAGAGCTAAGAACAGTGGCAAATGCCTACGAGGTGGACTGGGAGGCAGCAATTACTCTATTATGGAAACATTCCATGATATGTTAAATTAACCAGAAAACTTGGTACAGGTAAACTAGCTTTTTGGGGGGTAAGATCTCAGACATTATTATATATTTAAACTTGGGCTTGCCTTGGTAAGCTTTGAACTAACTGTTCAGTGTCCTGAATGTGTGAGAGGCTCTTTTATCCTCTGACAAGGCTCTGAGAATTTCTGGCAAAGCTCAGATACAAATGGCATGGAACAATTAGACTGCTTCTGACAATTAATCTATAGCGCCTACACCAACCAGTGGTAACTGCTTGGCTAGGTCAAAGCTGACAAAAGGGAAAAAAATAAACTTCCATAGATGTTACCTATAAAGCAAGTTATCAGGCCAAGCCAGAAGCAAGTACCAAGAGTTTCTTTTTCTTTATTCTTTTCTTTTTTGAGAGTTTTTTGCTATAGGCACCAGAAAGACAGGGAGAGACAGAGAGACAGAAAGCGAGAAATCACCCCCCAGGGGGATGGCCACACCGCAATCCCTTCTCTTCCATTCTCCTCTCGGGATCTTGGGCACACACATGTGCAGGCGTGAGTTTAAGCCACAGGGTCTGGGACTTGAACCGCGGTCAACTACATGGGAGTCCAACGACGTAGCCATTAGGCTAACTGCTGGTCCCCAACAGTTTATTTTTAAGTGATATTCAGTGCAAACATTAGTTGTCTCTCTTTAAAAAGGAATGTGTTTATTTATAATATTAAGAGCATTTAAAATGGTCGGCGCCCTCTTGCTTAATCTAATTATGACAGAAGATCCCCAATGCGGAAGGCCCTGGACATGTTGCACTGACCCCGGCTTGACTACCAGCCCCATCTCAGAGTCATTCCATTTTAGAAAGCTTCTTGGAAAAACAGAGCTTAAGGTACTTGGGGTTTGATCCTAAATCTCCAGATAGTGCCTACATTTCTTCTAAAGGGAAGTGGAACTTTAACCAGGGGGTCAGAAGCCATGGCATTAATTCATACCTACATCCTAATTAGAAAGATGGGATACACTTCAACAATACCCACCCTAGTTTGAAGTTTATTTTATATTCCTCTATTGGGGAAGATGAGCAAAATCTAATAATCTAATTCATCAAGCTAATCAGAAAAACCTTTTAAAATGAAGGTTTGTACAAAATACCCTATTATTGAAAATGACAGCATTTACTATGCTTCTTCAGTCTCCAGAACTTATGTGCAATAAATAACTGGAATAAGACAACTGAGATTCTGATGAACAAACCGAAGTTATCATTGAAAAGGACACCACTGAAGTCCATTCTAGTTGTCCAAAAAAAAAAATATTCTGGGGCCAGCAGGTGGCATGGTGTTTAGGGGTGCTGGACTCCCACATGGCCGACCGCAGCTCGAGTCCCAGACCTGGCAGCTTCACTTTACTTCTCTCTCTCTCTCTGTTTTCCCTCCACCCCGGTCAAATTAATAATAAATAAATAAGTAAAAGTTGGGACTGGCAGTTAGCATGACTATGTTGCTGGACTCCCATGTAGTAGATCGCAGTTCACGTCCCGGACCTGGCGGCTTAAAACTCATGCCAGACGTGTGTGTGCGTGCCCATCCCCCTGGGGGGTGATTTCTCGCTTTCTGTCTCTCTGTCTCTGTCTGTCTGGCAAGCGCGCGTGCTTTATAATAGCAAAAACCTCTCCAATAAATAAATAAATAAAAGTTAAATAGAATAATTTTTTAAAACTAAACAGTACTTTGGATTTTAAAACTTGGCCACAATACCAGTTAAGATAACTATTCCATGAAAATTCGTTCATTTCCTAAACCTAGAATCCTATTGCAGGTTTCAGGTGAACTGGATAGAGCAATTTTAAGACTGATGTAGGTCTGAGAAGTCATATTCTGCCTTGGTTTTCTTTCTTTCTTACTTTTTTTTAGAGAGGTTTTTGCTATAGAGCACATACGCTTGCCAGAGAGACAGGAAGAGACAGAGAGACAGAGAGACAGAAAGTGAGAAATCACCCCCCAGGGGGGATGACTACACCCCAATCCCTTCTCCATTCTCCTCTCGGGATCTTGGGCACACACGCACACGCGCTAGGCGTGAGCTTAAGCCACTGGGTCCAGGACTCGAACCATGGTCGACTACATGGGAGTCCAGTGACATATCCATCACTGCGTGTCCCCCCCTTGGTTTTATTTCTGAAGATAAGAATCTAACCTGTTTTCCAAACTCATCATCAACGAGTAATGTTAAAGCTGCCCTCAGTAACCAATACAAATGTTTAAACTCATATAAGCAATTTACAACCACCTCCTGATACTGGGTTGCTGGAAAAGTCACGATTTATTTTCCTATGTTTTTCTATGAAAAATGCATCATGACTTTTCCAACGACCCCATCTATACAAGAGCTTCTTTCCTTAGGAGTATCTACTATCAAGAAATATTCCTCCTTAAGCTTACTCTGCACCTTTGCCTTTAATTTCTCTTCACTAAGAGTCTTACATCATGCCCATGCATGCAATGTTTATCCTCAGCAAAGCCACGTTATAAAGACTCAATGTCTAGACAGGCAGTTCACCCAATCCATCAGATGGAAAGGTTTCAAAAGCATGTAAATATTACATTTTCGACAAAAGAACAAAGCATAGTCAATCACTAAAATTAAAAGACTTCAGATGTGACACTAACAGACTAAAAAACACTGTCTTCTAAAGAAATAGATTAGAGCTTGAGGGAATCTCTGGGTTTTTCTTTTTTTTAAAGAACTCTATAAAGTTCTTAAATCTAAGATTTAAAAACATGATTTATTTACTGATATGGAAAAATCTATGATAAATGGTGAAGAAAGCGAGTTACAAAACAGTATTTATATTTTTATCGCATTTTTGTAAACAAAATTTTTAAAATGCAGCCTCTCTCATATACTCACATGAAATTCCTAATTGTCTTAAATTCTCCTGCAAAGCACTCAAAAAGACTTCTTTGTACCTTATTAGCCCTCCAGCTTCAGTTAAAAATATTAATTGAAGTTACTTCAAATGTTCTGAAAATTATTAATCTCCCAGTCCGTTTTCTTAGATGAGTCTTTGATAATGCACACAAGTACTATAAAACTACCTCTTTATTTCACCAGCTTGTGGTTTCCTAAGTACTAAAGTTAATGCTCAATACCTGTATTTGCAATGAAGAGTTTTTCCCTCGAGGAATAGATTGGTTTCATATTATTTTCATTGCTAGCAGAAAATGTGGGGTTTGGTCGGGTTATTTGTTGAGTTATTAAAAAAAAAATAAAGGCAGACCTTTCAGTTGACTATCAAACTTTTAACCTTATGCACAAATCCCAAGATAAGAGTTTTAGCATTCCAAATTTAACTCAAAACAAAAGCCTTTGCTTTGAGCCTACAAATGCTCCTTTCAGTTAGAAAAGTGCTAATTTGTCCAAAGTCATACAATGCATTCACTCATTTTCTTGAAAATGACTCACTCAATAATCTGAAACATAATGACTATGTGTTTGTTAACAATTCAGAACAACTGTACAATGGCCTGTCATCTGAACTCTGAATTAATTTGGAGGGTCATTTTCGGAATTTACATTTTCTAAATGTAAAGCAGCTGAAGCTGCATATTTTAGTAGCAAAATAAAAGATTTAATTGCCAACTCTGCCTTTCCAACTGCTTCCTCTATGCTCTCCTAAGTTTTCGGTCGTTAAACTTATTTTAATATTTAGAGGTTCAAACCAAGTTCCAGAAGGTTATCAATGAAAAAGGATAAAGTGAGTGATGACATATCTCAGCTATAGCTTTGTCAAACCACACAATTTTTGGACACTGTCAGCAAATATTTACTGGGCATCTCGTATGTACAATGACCGTTGTTACGGATTTTGGAGGAGCTACGCTCAAAGTGTGATTCCTGGACCAGCAGAAGCACCGCCTGGAAACCTGTTAAAAACACAACAATCACTGCTATCCCCCACTGCCACCCAACTCCACTGGTCGGGCCTAGCAATTGGGCAGTTTAACAAAGCTCTCCAGGTGATTCCAACTGTCTCTCAAATTTAAGAATCACTGCTTCAGAATATTAACTTGGTGGGACCAGCAGTTAGCATAATGGCTAGGGCGCTGGACTCCCATGTAGTCGACCGCAGTTCGAGTCCTGGAACCGGTGGCTTAAGCTCACGCCGGGCACGTGTGCGTGCGTGCCCAAGATCCTGAGAGGAGAATGGAGAAGGGACTGCGGCATGGCCAACCCCCTTGGGGGGTGATTTCTTGCTTTCTGTCTCTGTCTTTCAGGCGAGTGCACACACTCTATAGCAAAAACCTCTCCAAAAAAAAAAAAAAAGAAGTACCACTATTGGAAAACTAACAGAGCAGGGGGGCTGGCGATGTGGTGGTTAAGAGTGTTGGACTCCCACATGGCTGACAGCACTTCAAGTTCCCAACCTGATGGCTTGCTCTCTCACTTTCCCTTTCTCTTTTTCTCACTCTCTCTCACTGATCAAATTAAAATAAATAAATAAATGAAGTTAAATAAAATTATTATTTAAAAACCAAAAAAGGGAGACCAACAGTTGGCCTAATGGCTATGTCGCTGGACTCCCATGTAGTCGACCGCAGTTCGAGTCCCATGCCAGGCACGTGTGCATACGTGCCCAAGATCCCAAGAGGAGAATGGAGAAGGGACTGCGGCATGGCCAACCCCCTTGGGGGGTGATTTCTTGCTTTCTGTCTTTCTGGCGGGCACACGTGCCCTATAGCAAAAACCTCTCCAAAAAACAAGGGAAGAAAACTGAACTAACCATGCAGGAATGATAACAAAAGCTATGTGATGTTAGTGTCCAGGAGACAATGTTGTCAGAAAATTCTCATTTTTGAAAATAAGCTCCAAGTCTGACATTTTTTTTTTTTTTTTTTTTTTAAGGATTTTGCTATATATAGCACATGAGCTTTCACCATAAAGACACAGAGAGAGGGAAAATGAGAAATCACCCCTCTGGAGGGATGGCCACACCACAATTCCTTCTCCTTCATTTCTCCTGTTGGGATTTGGGGAATGTATACACATGTGCCTGGTGTGAGTTTCAAACCACTGGGTCTGAGACTAAAACCACAGATGGCCACGTGGGAATCTAGCACCTTAACCATCACATCACCAACTTTAAAATAATGAATCACACTTTTAAAGAAAACAATGTGTAATCCAACTAAAACATAACTCTGGCCTATGGGCTGCCGGTTAGAGACCTCCAGTTTAGAGCATTAAATCCTTATTTGCCTGCATTGTGTTCGTTCGTTCGTTCGTTCGTTCTTTCTTCCTTCCTTCCTTCCTTTCAGAATTATTTGGGACCAGCAGTTAGCATAATGGCTATGTCATTGGAATCCCATATAGTCAACAGTGGTTTGAGTCCCGGACCTGGTGGCTTAAACTCACGCTGGGTGCATGTGCATGCATGCCCAAGATCTCGAGAAAAAAATGGAGGAGAAGGGATTGTGGCCTGTCCATCCCCCCATGGGGGGTGATTTCTCGCTTTTTGTCTCTCTGTCTCTCTCTGTCTTTCTGGCGAGCGCACATGCCCTATAGCAAAAACCTCTCCGAAAAAAAAATATTTAATGTTATTTATTAATTCATTTTTATTTGATCAGAGAAAGACAGACACACAGAGAGAGAAGGAAAGTGAGAAAGCAAGGCATCAGGTCGGAGACTCAAACTGTGGTCGGTCATATGGGAGTGTCCAGTACCTTAACCACGATGCCACCTGCTGACCCTGCCTGCCTTGGTTTCTGATTTCCATCTTCCCTACGGTAAAAAAAATTCCTATATTTAGGCAGCATTTTAACACCCTTTAGTATATACTCCTGTCCATGTGATCGTCTCAACTGTGAGAGGTAGTCAGGAGACGAGTAAACAGGCAGAGGCTAATGTAACTTGTTCATCATCATATGATTAGCAAGGACCTAAATCTGGTCTCCTGACTCTGAGGACAGCATCAACCTTTGGCCATTTCACTCCCTCCTCATGTTCTTCTGCTTAAGTTATGTCCTCGTCTACAACAATTTCTTCCTGCCAATTCAACTCTCATCATCTCTTAAGACCCAGCTAATGCTCCACTGTCTATATAACACTTCCTCACCTTGGTTAAATCTCCATGTTTTCTCTTTTTCTGAACTTCAATTGTTAGTATGATTAATAACTTAGAAACTGGTGCCTACAAATTAACTGTTAAAAGCCACCAAATTATTTCACATTATTCCACATTAGTTTATCCCTTCAATAAAATTCTAAGTTTCTGAATGAAGCAGATATGCCATTCTTCTTTTCTATTCTACACAGTTCCCAGCACTGAGCTGGGACATAAAAATAAATATTTAACTTTGACTCGGACAGTCTTTTGAGGAAGACAGTTGCGACGATACCATTAACTTACCAGTCTGATGTTGTCTTCCGGGCGGAGTAGTATGAACATTGCTTGGAGGTGCTGCTGGAGATCGCCTGGTGAAATTACAAAATAAAGGATAATTATTTTTCCATTTTTATGTTAACGGAGGATTCCTTCTATCTTAATAACTTTTTTTTTTTTTTGAGAGGTTTTTGCTATAGGGCATGTGCACTTGCCAGAGAGACAGAAATCACCCCTCGAGGGGATGGTCCCCCTGTAAGCTGTAATCCCTTCTCCTCCATTCTCCTCTCCTCCCCTTAGGGGGTGATTTCTCACTTTTTGTCTCTCTGTGAGTGTATGCGCCCTATAGCAAAAACCTCTCAAAAAAAAAAAAAAAAAAAAAAAAAAAAAGCTAACCATTTTGGGCCAGATGCTAGTGCAAGGGTACAACATGCTCACAATGAAGGGAGCGTTTCTGAGTACTTTGAGCACATAGATACACATAATCTGGGGCGTTAAGACCCTGTCAGGGGCGCTGTCTCTCTCAGTTATGGAAGAAAGAAACTTAAAAAAAAAAAAAGCTAGCAACTTTTTTCATTCTTATTTTTGTCACAATTTTCACTTAAGCTAAGACTTTTAGATTCCCCCTAAAATAATGTCAACAGTTTAAAAATGATTTTCGCATTAGCGGCTGACAATGCAATGAAAGTACAGTTGGCCTTCCACATCCGCTTGGCCTTCCACATGCACTGGTCCTTCAGCTGTGGACTGAAAATGCTACCTTGTTGGGACCAGCGGGTGGTGTGGTGGTTAAGGTGCTGGACACTCCCACATGGCCGACCGGGGTTTGAGTCCTGAATCTGGTGGCTTGCTTTCTCACTTCCTCTCTCTCTCACCCTCTGTCTCTCTCTGATCTAACTAACTAACTAAGATAAAATAAATAATTATTAAAAAAAAAAATACTACCTTGTTGCCAGCATGTCCTATAGTTAGGCCTGCGATGACTGCTTCTATACTCAACAGGTACAGACTTTTTCTTGTCATTACTCCCTGAACTAAACAGTACAACTATTTACATAGCATTTACACTGTTTAAGTTATCTTAAGTAATCTAGAAATGATTAAAGCATATTGGACAATATGCATAAGTTATATGCAAATACCGTTTTATATAAGGAACTTAGAAATATGGATTTCAGTATGGGGGGGTCATGGAACTAATCCCCCATGAATACCAAGGGATGACTACCTATGTTAAATGTTACATAAGATTATATGTATTAGGTACTTTAAAATGGGCATTATTTGAATCTTCACTGTTCTTACTTTTTTTTTTTTTTTTTTTGAGAGATTTTTGCTATAGGGCCTGTACGCTTCCGAGAAAGATAAGAGAGAAGCACAGAGACAGAAAGTGAGAAATCACCCCCAAGGGGGGATGGCCACGGCTGCAATCCCTTCTCCTCCATTCTCCTCTTGGGATCTTGGGCACGCACGCACACGCACCCAATGTGAGTTTAAGCCACTGGGTCCAGGACTCGAACCGCAGTCGACTACATGGGACTCCAGCGACACAGTCATTACGCCAACTGCTTGTCCTGTCTGTTCTTATGCTTTATAAAGCTAAGTTGAAATTTCAAAATTTTTATTTTTAACTTGAATTAACTCTCTGGATTATTTTAAAAATAATTTTATTTATTATTTATTATTATTATTATTATTTATTACGCCATCTGCTGGTCCCCTGTATCATTCTTCTTACACTATATTTAGAGAACAAGAGAAATAAGATTTAATTTTTGATTAGAAAAAAATTTTCCATAGGATTCAAGGAAACATCTGAATATTTTATAGTTACCACAATCTTTTAAAAAATAATTATTTAATTTTATTTATTATTATAATTTAAAAATTTTGCGATTGCTGTCTCTCACCAGAGAGACAGAGACAGAGAGAATACGTGAGAAAGCAAGCCTCCAGGTCCAGTACTCGAACTGCAGTCTGCCATGCAGAAGTCCAGTGCCCCAACCACTACACACTCTGCTGGTCCCAGCTATCAGAATCTTAATTGAGGGACCAGCAGGTGGTGTGGTGGTTAAGGCGCTGGACACTCCCACATGCTGACCATGGTTTGAGTCCCAGACCTGGTGGCCTGCTTTCTCACTTTCTCTCTCTCTCTCTTCCCAACACTCTCTCTCTGTGTATCTCTCTCTAGTCAAATTGAAATAAAATGAATGAATTAACAAAATTAAATAAAAACTCTTTTAAAAAAAAGATTATTGGGAACCAGCAATTAGCGTAATGGCTATGTCGCTGGACTCCCACGTAGTCGACCAAGATTCGTGTCCCGGACCCGGTGGCTTAAAACTCACGCCGGGTGCGTGTGCATACGTGCCCAAGATCCTGAGAGGAGAATGGAGGAGAAGGGATTGCGGCGTGACCATCCCCTCTGGGGGGTGATTTCTCACTTTCTGTCTCTATGTCTCTCTCTCTCTGGAGAGCGCATGCGCCCTATAGTGAAAATCTCTCTCTCAAAAAAAAAAAAAAAAAGATTATTAACTGAGAAGTCACATGTAACTATTATTTTGCTACTTTCTCATATTACTCCAATAAAAATGCATTGAACATCTATTACAGGTATAAGCCATTTTCCTGGAAAAATGATCTGTATGAGTGTAGAAAACCACAGAAAAGTGATTATAGCACAGTACAACACTTTCTTTCATCATAATAGAACTGTTGGAGAAGTGAGGATGAGGTAGTCAGCCCTTCAGGGTAAAACAAAAGGCAAAATAACCAAGGAAGGGATGGCGTAGACGAAGCTTTACCTGCATGCTTGTTGCGTCTGTGGCTGATTCTTGGTGTAGATGAGCCATTTCCCCGCGGCAGAAAAAGAGCAGCACCTTTGACAGTTAAAAAGCTCTCGCTGATGCTACAAGAAGAAAGTCAAAAGGAAATAGATTACTTAATGAAGGAAATCAAAATATAGGATGGAGATTCTTTTTGAGATTATTTTCTCTTCCTTATTCCAAAGCCTCAAAGGTCTGTAAAAGCTCGAGAACCAGACTGCCTGAGTTTGAATCCTGGCTCTCTTACTTTTTTTTTTTTGGGGGGGAGGTTTTTGCTACAGGGCGCGTGTGCTCACCACAAAGAGAGAGACAGAGAGACAGAAAGTGAGAAATCACCCCCCAGGGGGGATGGCTATGCAGCAATCCCTTCTCCTCCATTCTCTCGGGATCTTGGGCACACATGCAAACGCGCCTGGAGTGAGTTTTAAGTCACCGGGTCCAGGAAGCGAACCATGGTCGACTACATGGGAGTCCAGAGACATAGCCTTACGCTAACTGCTGGTCCCCTGGCTCTCTTACTTTTTGAGTGAACCTCTTTGGGTCTAAAAATTTCTATTTCTATAAAACACAGATAATAAAATGAGGCTGTCTTGTTGTGAGGAGTCAATGAGAAGAACGTAGCTTTATTTATTTATTTATTTGCTAGAGGGCAAGTGTACTTGCTGGAGGAGAGAGTGAAAGGGAAAGTGAAGAAGCATCTCCCATGGGGGAAGGACATGCCACAATCTCTTCCCCTCCATTTTTCCTTTTGGGATTTTGGGCACACATACACAAGTGCCAGGGCATTTTTCAAGCTGCTGGGTCTAGGACTTGAACCACGCAGTTGGTTATGTAATAACTAGCCACCTTACACACCATGCCACTGACTGGACTGAATATAGCTTCTTTAAGTAGCACCCAGCTTAGCCATAGTGGCGTGCACTAAGTTGCTGGTACTTGGAGGCTGAGGTCATGTGGTAGGCCTAGGTTCAACCTGTTTAGGGTTGGGCCAATAGTGTACAACGGGAGTCCCAGCTAACCGGGAGGCTGGGGCAGAAGGAGTATAACATGGCAAGACCTTGTTGAGAGTATCTCTCTCTCCCTCATTTAAAAAAAAAGAAAGGAAAAAGAAAAAGGCAGTGGTTTGTACATAGTAATAAGCCCTTAATACTAATTATATATATATATATATATATATATATGGTTATCAATAACATTTTAATAGCATTCTGATCAGATGTGAAATGTTATAATAGTTACTAATAAAAGATCCAAAGTTTTAAAAAATTTTTGTTCGAAATATACACATACCAAACTAAAGTGTTAATCACCGTATTATGTGCCAAGGGCTCATATACTCACCAGAGATAGACAGAGACAGAGACAAAGGGGAGACAGTATCCCCCAGTGGGGCATGGTTCCACCACAACCCCTCCTGCATCCTGACCGGATTTTGGCTATGCATGGAAATGTGCCTGTGTGTTTTTCAAGCCTCCAGAGCCAGAATTCGAACTGTAGTCAGTCATGTAAGATCTGGCTCTAGATCAAAATTGTACTCTCACCAATTTGCATCCTTACAAGTGTAGAAGAGGTGTGCACAGGAACTATGTTTAACCTACTGCAGTCTGTCCCCATGTCAACATTATCATCCATGTAGGTTCTAACTCAGTATAGACAGAAAATCACTGATTAAGATAGCTGCCGTTCAAAACGAAGTTACTGGCCCAGCTGCAGTGGCACAAGTGGTAGGGTGCCACCGTGTGAGGCCTGGGATTGGTTCCCGGACTGATCTAGAAGGCTGAGTGTGGTGATAAGACTGTGATCCCAGCTAGCTAGGAGGCTGAGGCAGGGGGACTGTGGCAGAGATCCCACCAAATCTCTCATTAAAAAACCCCAAACGACAGCAGGTGGTGTAGTGGTTAAGGTGCTGATCTCGCACATGGCCAACCATGGTTTGAGTCTCAGACCTAGTGGCTTGAAAAATCACACCAGGTGCATGTGTGTGCCTGCCCCAAATCTCAGGAGGAGAATGGAGCAGAAGGCACTGAGGCATGGCCATCTCTCCTGGGAGGTGAGTTCTCACTTTCTCTCTCACTGTCTCTGTTTCTCTCCAGTGAGTGCATGTGCCCTATGGCAAGAACCTTAAAAACTAAAACAAGAAATAATGACTACTGGATAGCCACAGAAAATATGTCTCAATTACTTCATATCAACAGATTATTCAGTGTTACCCACAGAATATGAAAATGATGATACTTTTTTTTTTCTTGGAGAGGTTTTTTTTTTTTTTTCTTTTTGCTATAGGGTACGTGCACTCGCCAGACAGACAGAGACAGAGAGACAGAAAGCGAGAAATCATCCCCAGGGGGGATGGCCACGCCACAATCCCTTCTCCTCCATTCTCCTCTCGGGATCTTGGGCACGCATGCACACGTGCCTGGTGTGAGTTTAAGCCACCAGGTCCAGGACATGAACCACGGTGGACTACATGGGAATCCAGCAACATCGCCATTACGCTAACTGCTGGTCCCAAAATGACGATACTTTTAAGGGTAAAGTTTAGAAACACAAAATGGAGGGTTCCAAATTTGCACCTGTGTATAGTCTTGCCACTCAGTGTAAGCTACGCATTGTAAATGACACCGTCTACTCAGTATTTCCAGTTGGCAATATAACTGGCATTTTAAGTTTATATTGCTAAAAGTAAACTCTTGAGTCTCCCCTCAAACTGATTCCTAGCCTCCCTGACCCAGTTGCTTGGGTCAGTCATCCTTTGCTTCTCATTTCTGTCCTTATAATATATGTCTACTCTATCAGCAAGTTCTATGAGCTTTACTTTCAAATATATCTTGACTCTGCCCACTTGTCCCATACCACCACTACAATGGTCATTTCTCACTTGGATCACTGTTAAAAAGCCTCCCCCCCAACCCCGTGTACAGACTTTCATTACAGAAAATTTCAAACACATGTAAAAGTGGAGGGGAAAACATAGCGAACCACTACGTTCCCATCACATTTTGGCCTTTTTCCTTTCTCTTCTTCTTCTTTTTTTCTAAAGTTTTTGCTATAGAGTGCACCTTGCCAGAGAGAGACAGAGAGAGAGGGGGAAGGAGAGTGAGAAATCATCCCCTAAGGGGAAAGGCCATACCACAGTCCCTTCTCCTCTGTTCTTCTCTTGGAATTTTGGGCATGTAATATTGTGGGTGATATTCAAGCTGCCTGGTCTGGGACTCAAACTGCAGAGTTGGATGTGTGGGATCCAGCCACCTTAACCTCCATGCCACCTGCTAGCCCCTTAATTCATTTTTAAGCCAATTTGTTTCTTTTATATCTTTACTCCTTTCACCTTGCTCCCAAAGTGAAACGTATCCCAGATGTAGCTGCAAAAATCCTTGTAACAGTATGTGTGCAACAACTTCTGACCCCACCATTATCCACTCACCAAACAGCAACCACAGTACTTTAAAATATATATAGACCACACAATGTCACTTCCTAGCTTAAAACCCTCCAATCTTCCCCTTGTACTTATAAATAAAAAGCCAGCTCCTCAAGGTCCTGTAAAACCCTGTAACAAGCGACTTCTCTGGTCTTAAAGCATTTCGATCCCTTTCGTTCACAGTGATTTATCTGCTTGCGCCGTCCTTTTTGTTTCTTCAGTATTTCAGGCCCCCTCCTCAGGGCCTTTGTGCTTTTTTGCTCTCCACTTGGAATTCTCTTCTTCTGGGCTGCTATATTTAAGTCTCAGCGCCAGTATCGCCACCCTTCCCCCATTCCAATTGTACTCTATCCTGTTGCTGTTTTGTTTTTTATTCAGGATGCTTACCATAAACTAAAGTTATATTTATTCCCTTGTATACTTGATCACAATTATCTCCCTATAATAGAATAAACCACCGTGAGTGCAAGACTTTGTTTTGCTGACCACTGTATCCTCAGCATTAAAAATAGTACCAGGCACCTATTATTATTATTATTATTATTATTATTATTATTATTTTGAGAGGTTTTTGCTATAGGGCTTGTGTGCTCGCCAGAAAAAACAGAGAGAAAGAGCACGACAGAAAGTGAGAGATCACCCCCCGGGGGGATGGCCATGCCGCAATCCCTTCTCCTCTCGGGATCTTGGGCACGCACATGCGCCCAGCGTGAGTTTAAGCCACCAGGTCCGGGACTCGAACCACGGTCGACTACATGGGAGTCCAGCGATATAGCTATTATGCCAACTCCTGGCCCCAACCAGGCACATATTAAATGCTCAAAAGATATGTGATGGATGAATGAGTTCAATGAGTTGTGTGTGTTTTTTTTTTTTTCTTTTCCATACTGTTATGTCTGTTCTATCATTGCAGAAGAAACTAATTTAGGACAAGTCTCATATGCGAAAAAAAGAATCATTCTAGAATTAAATATATTTGACAGATTAATGAACTATAAAATAAAAATGATAAATTAAGTGCTAAATGAAATTAATCACCTCTATAATGCTGTTAGTCATTGACTCAATTTTACTCTTTAAGGTGACATGAAGCTGATGAAACCTCTTAAGTAACTTGCCAAATAGATTGAAGCATGTTTTCTAAAAACAAAACATAAGAATCCACAGATGCTACTAAAAATCTGCATACTGGCTGGGAGGGGCTGCTTTGATTTTGTTTTGTTTTCATCTTTAAATAAAGCATTGCTCTCTTGTGGTCTGTTGCACAAGCCTTGTCTCCTGTTACATCCGTGGTGCACACATGCCGCCCTGCTGTGGGTCACTGTTTCACTCACATTACGGGAACAACCTAAAACAAAATGTCTGAGTGACAGGATGAGCGGGGTATACCACAGACAGGAAATGAAATTCACACTTCAGCCAACACAGCAACAGTCTGCTTGACTAAATGAAAATATTTTTAAAATACAGGCTAAATAGTCTACCTATTCTCAGGCAAAGTAACAGCTTTGGGCACTTTGATTTCCAGTAAACAAAGCAGTTCTCTATATCTAAAAAAGAAATATATTTGTTGAAAACTTAAGACAACTCAGCATACTTGAGCAATTCCTTTTACGAGACAGAGGTAGTTTCTCTTTGACAAACACTAGGTTTAAGAGCTAA